TTTTATATTAAAGGTATAGTGGAGGATGTTCTTTTTCCAGGTGGATCACCAAACGAAGTGGTCCTGCTAATTGTAAATCAATGTGGTAAAATGTTCACGTAAGGCCGTTCTATGTGCTCGTCCCCATTCTCACTATCCGGTGGTGAGTCTGACATAAAAGTTGCAAATCTTCTTTTGGAAAGTAAGCTTGTATGAGCGATGGGAACAGCAACTTTTAAACAGAGCGTGCAGGAGAAGAAATGAGCTTGTTCACGCTCTGCACGTGTTCAATAGACGTTCCCTCTCCGTATGGAAGCAAATCGTTACCATATTTCAAATGAAAAGGCATTTCCAGAAATGCTTTTGTCATTTTAAGAATGTGGCTGCATTGTTTGACTCATAAATGAAATTTGTAATCAATCATCCTGTTTGCATTTTCATTTTCTTCTTCAACACTGCTCATCCTTTTACTTAATTAAAATGAAAAAGACATTTGAGATTTATTTTTCAAAATGCACCCCAGCAAATACATACCAAAATTCAATTTGAAATGTAAAATTTGAAAATGAAAAAGCATTTCTGGAAATGCTTTTTCATTTGAAATATGGTAACGATTTGCTTCCATATCTCTGGAGTGGGTACAGGGTTGTTCATGTGCATTTTGTTAAAGTAGAGAGGGCCTCCATTATACCTTAAAAAAACAGTAAAACTTTTGAGGTTTTTTTTTTTTTTTTTGCAGTCTTTCTTTCTATGCAAAACACCAAGCACTGTTAGGATTGGTTTATAAGTTCACGTTGAAAAAATATATTTGGAAGGGTTGTTTCTGCCCAGATCCATCCATCCGGTGCCGGTTCACGATGGCAGCAGTCTAAGCAGAGATGCTTAGACTTCCAGATCCACACAAACTTCCTCCAGTTGCGTGGCCTCCTCCCAATGGGACATGCCTGGAACACCTCCTGAGGGAGGCGACAAGGAGGCATCCAGAACAGATGCCCGAGCCTCCTCAGCTGGCTCCTTTCGACGTGGAGGAGCAATGACTCTACTCCGAGCTCCTCCGGGGTAACGCAGGTGGCAGGTGGCTGTGCGCACCCTGCGAGATTGGAAGGAAACTCATTTCAGCCGCTAGTATTCATGATCTTGTTTTTGACCACAGGTGAGGGTGGGAACGTAGATCGATCAGTAAATCGAGAGCTTTGCCCCCCGACTCAGTTCCCGCTTCACCACGACACTCCTAAACAGTGACTGCATCACTGCCGATGCTGCACCGGTCTCACGCTCCATCCGTCCCTCACTCGTGAACAAGATCTTGAGATACTTGAGCTCCTCCATTTGAGACAAGGACTCTCCACCGACCTGAAGAAGGGAGTCCACCGTTCTCCTGTGGAAAAAACCATGGATTTGGAGATGGTGATCCTCATCCCGGCCGCTTCCCATTCGGCCGCAAACCGCCCCAGAACACATCGAAGGTCCTGGTTTGATGAGGCCAACAGGACAATATTATCTGCAAACGGCAGACATGATATCCTGAGGTTCCCAAACCAGGACACCCTCTGCTCCCTGGCTGCGCCTAGAAATTCCTCTGCACAGATTTTATCACCATATTTATTTAAAAAACAATTCTGTCCAGTTTCCTTTTTAAAATCTTCTTCACAACTTTAAAAAATACAAATTTGTTCATAACTGTCTCTCTTATTACATACTTTTAAACATTAAATCAGATCTTATGAGCCAACTCTTACTCAGTACTTCTAGTTCTAACTATTTTCTGGGATGACTACTTTCTAGTTTAAAATCTGTTTCTGACTGACTTTTCTTCCAGTGATTAAAACAGAGACCTGAGCTGAGTGTAATCCAAATACCAGCTCTGCTTTCTCTGAGCGTCCAGGTCATCCCACAGGCGATATGTTCTGATTATCTTCTTTATTTTGCACAAACAGAGAAGGTCCGTTCTCTTCTCTGCATCTTCTCCACATGTGCAAAACAAATCCACGTTGCCGCCCGAAGTCTCCCATCGGCAGCATACCTAAGATGCTCACCTAAACTGGATGGTTTGCACTAGTTTCCCTTGTAATGTTGCTGTAGAGCCACTAACAGCAAGGTTTAGTTTCTTATTTAGTTTCTTAGGAGATAAGCTCCTTTTATTTCCATTTTGAAAGAGTCAACAAGGTGCACACAAAGGTCCCTCAGAGCCCAAAGGATGATTCTTTTCTGCTGCCCT